AATAATATTGATAATATTATTAGTATATTAATATTATTATTTTAAAATATTATAAACTTATATATATATATATATTTAATATTACTAAATAAATAAAATTTAAATATATTATTAGTATTAACGAATTAATAGTGATAATAATATTATTTTATTAATATCTTATTAATACTAATAATATAATTAAATTTTATTTATTTAGTAATGGTGAATATTTTTTTTGATACGTTGATGAAATTTACAGTTTATATATCTTAAAGTAGACAATTATACAATTTTAAAATAATAATTTGTTAATATACTAATAATATTATAATATTAATAAATAGCAATATTATTAATGTTGTAAACTCCTGCACACGATAATAAATACATTCACTTGTGATAAACAATATGTTTAATCTGATAGATGAACATGAAAAAATGTTGATCTTATGCATATTAATAGACGATCTATGCTATTGCCTTGGAGAATCTTCATTTTGTAGATTTTACACATAAAATAAAGTATAAATATAAACACATAGATGCTCAAGGATTAAAAGTATTTTTTTTTTCAAATGCAAGTATATATTATCATCATTACAAACAACTAGCTACCCAACTTACCCGATGACAATACATTGGCAGAACACGTTACAATTTTGGCATTTTGGATTTAGACAATTTCGGCCCAAAACAGACAGTATAACATATCTTAATTTGGGCCCAAAAAATTACTGTATAACATATCTTAATGGTAGATGTTAAACACACCTCCACTCTCGTATAAACACATCTCTTTTTTAAAAAAAATATATATAAAATGTCTAAATTACCCTTTTAAAAAAAATGAAATTCCTAAATTTACACCTCATTTCCCGCACCCCCTTTCCCCGCACCCCACACTCCACACCCCTCTTCTTCCCAATGGGTTTCACATGAAGTACCATGGATGGTCCTCCATCACACGTGGGTCAATGAGGAGCTCTTTGACTTGGTGATGCCAAACCCAAGATGAGTAGCACTAGATGTGATCAAGACATAGGTTCTCTACCTAAATAATGTTGAGCACATGTTTTTGTGATGTAGAGCGTGAGTCGGGTAGAAGCTCTCAACCTAGATGAGGTTGGGCGTAGGCCTAGCTACACTAGGCATGATTGACACAAGGGATTTTTACTTCATCAACACCAAGTGTAGGTAGATTGACATTGGGCGTGGGCGAGCCAGAACCTCTTCTTCTCAATGACGCCGAGCATTGGAAAAATGACACCGAATATGGTAATGTTGAATGATAACTTGTTGATTTGTCAAAAGGATTGAGAATATATGAAATAGATTGATTAGTCACATGATTTATGATGTTGTATGATTCTAGTTTGTTATGTATATTAATTTAGAATTATGTATAATGAAAGTTGATTAAGTTGTAATTTGATTAAAGAAGTTAAGTTGTGTTAAAGATGTGGTGATTAAATATATGTTTAAGTTGATATACATAAAAACTATAGGAGAGCAAATATGCTTTAAAAATTAAAATATCTCGTTATGAAGATATACTTATGGTGTTTCAAGAGTCCAAAGTTGAGAACCTTTTAGTGAGATAGTTTTCTCATGAATGAGGAATTATTTTAAGTTTTCTCATATAGGTTTTATGAATAGTATGGGGGTTAAGTCGAATCATATTGATTAAAAAATTACCCATGTAAGTTCGTGGGAAGGGGGGGCACTAGGTCAAGCCATATGTATTATAAGCGACCAAATCAAGTAAGTTATGAAGTTGAGGGGTAAAATATTAACTAATTACTAGAAATATGCATAGTATTTAGAAAGTAATTGGTGGGCTAATTCTATATGAGGCTTAGGTATGCATGCTGAGCTCATGGTAGCATTGCACCTAAGTTGTTTTACTTTGACAATAGTACTAAACTTTATTAATTAATTTAAGTGTGAAACATGATAAATCAATTTAAGTTGTTAAAGAGGTACTTAGAGAGACTTGAAGTTGTCTACACTTGACCTGGTTGCAATAGGCTAGACATTATGATTTGGGAGGGTACCACTTAGATTGCTCACCTTAATTGTAAAGTATCTCCATAAGTTGATATATATGATAAGACATTAATTGTTTAAATTGTGATTAAAGTTGTTTATGTTGATAATGTTGTACAAATTGTAAGTTGTGTTTTCTGTTAAAAGATATGACTGATGTTGCATGGGTAGATTATGTTTTAAGTTGAATTTAATTGATGAAGTTGTTATTTCTTGATAAAGTTATTATGTTGATTTTTTTCCGAGTTTACCCTTTTTTTCTTGTTAGATTGAAATAATCACACTTGATATAAGAGCAATATATGATTAGTTTTAATGGCTAGGCTTGCTGGTGAATGATCATACTATAGGTGATCTATTTTGAGTATACCACTCTAATATAATATTATTGTATAAAGATATTTGACTAACAATATATAGGATTATTTTGTATTCAGTTGATATATTTAAATATATGTTCAAGGATTATATTTTAAATTATATAAACTAAAAGACAAAGTAAATATAATTATAACCTAACATTTTTTTTAACTATTATTAAATTTCATCTTAAACTTGCGACTTAGTTATTTCATCACAAGCAACTTACAACATATTTGGCATCGTTTGCCAGCCTATTTATCTATTTTTTTTATTATGAGAATTTATCTAATCTAATCTTATCCTTTCTATTTGTTTTTACATTTACACATTATAAAATAGAAATAACCAAAAATACGATCGTCACACATTTCTATCAATCTAATTTTATGTCTTCTATTGCTTTCTTCACCAACAACCTCCTTTCTCCTTGTTTTCTCTTGACTTCATACATCCCCTCATCACATTGTCTCTCTTTCCCCCTCTCCCTCTTTACTTTCCCTCCTATCCCCTTTCCCCACCACCATCATCGGTGGGAGAGAAAAAAAAAATAAAAAATTAAACCACACACCATAATCCGCCAAAATTTTATAAAAAATGTTCCCCAACTACAATTTCAGCCACAACTTTAAGATTCATCAACCGTGATTTCCCACAATATCAAGAAACGTGAAATCAACATGGGTTCATCCAAGGAAAGAGAGAATTCCCAAACCGAATCACCACCATCCACAAACGAATCCTCGAGAAAGCACACGGAGCCGCCACCACCACCAACCGCCACTTACCCCATGCATCCACCACCGCACCCAATGTATTACCCTAGCCCCCAAGGGTACCCCCAATATCCACCCGGTTACCCACCCGGTTACTACCCTCAAACCGCCCCTTACTACGGTCCCCCTCCCACCTACCACACCTCTTCAGCCGGTACCCGGTGCTGCCGCAGCTTCATCATATGTTCATGCATGATCCTCACCTGCCTTTTTCTCATGAGCCTCACCCTAGCCCTAGTGCTTCGTCCAGAACTACCCGCGTACAAGATTGCATCCTTGTCCGTGACAAATTTCTCCACCACGCCAACCCTAGCTGGCGAATGGGACGCAAAAGTGACCATCGAAAACCCTAACGACAAACTCGTGGCTTATTTTTCCCACTTGAAGGTGGACGTGGTGTACAAGGACGGTGTTGTGGCGGTTAACCACGCGCCAGGGTTTGTGTTGAACACGAAGGAGAAGGTGGACATGGACGCCAAGGGCTCGTCGAACGGTGCGAATGGGGACATGGTTGGGAAGGCCACAATGGATGACTTGGTCAAAGAGAAAGGTAGTGGCTCCGTTACCTTCGGTTTGAGGGTGTCTTCCATGAACATGTTTAAGTCTGGCTCCATTTCCACCAGGAGCGAAGAGATAGTGGCCATTTGTGAAGACTTGAAGGTTGTGTTTCAGAATAATGATGCTGGGACATTGGACAATAAGGGAAAACCCAATGAATGCCAGGTGTATATTTGAAGGGGTTATATAAACTACCTTTTGTATTTTGTGTTGGTAATCATTCTTTTTTAATCGGTATTTTTTTAATATAATTTATTTTTTATTCAAAATTAAAATATAAATAATTTGATTAAAAAACACACAAAGCTATCTTTTGTGTGCGTTTTGTTTTTTATTTGAGAGGAAGAGAATTGTTATTAATTTGTGTACATAGTTGTATTTAGTAGCGTTGTCTTGTTTGGGGAATCTAGATAGAAACATGCTTTTCAGCCTTGCAGATATATAGAAATTAAATTAGTTTTGTAAGTTTCCTTTGTTAATAGAAATTTCCCTTGTTTGGTTTGTAGTCAAAAGCTAGAGAGTCCTGTAAAATATCAATAAATGAATGTATTATGTATTGTATGCCATGTAGCATGTACTATGGAAAATTAACACATAGGTACATTTTGGTAACTTTTTACATAAATTTCTATTAATTCTTAGAAATTTTCCTAAAGTATTACACGACTCAGTTAGGTGGATGACACAACTTGCTAAAATGATCATGTGAAAATAAGATTAAAATTTTGTTAAAGGTATAAAATGATAATTGAATCTAACTTCTTTCAACTATTAGAATAATACTTAATCACTATATCAATAAATTTTTTAATATATTAAAAATAAAAAAAATAAAAGTTATGATATTATATACCGTCAAATGAATTCAAAATTTCACATACATTTATTACCATTAAATAATATATATATATATATATATATATAATATTATTGATAAAATAATATTGATAATATTATTAGTATATTAATATTATTATTTTAAAATATTATAAACTTATATATATATATATATTTAATATTACTAAATAAATAAAATTTAAATATATTATTAGTATTAACGAATTAATAGTGATAATAATATTATTTTATTAATATCTTATTAATACTAATAATATAATTAAATTTTATTTATTTAGTAATGGTGAATATTTTTTTTGATACGTTGATGAAATTTACAGTTTATATATCTTAAAGTAGACAATTATACAATTTTAAAATAATAATTTGTTAATATACTAATAATATTATAATATTAATAAATAGCAATATTATTAATGTTGTAAACTCCTGCACACGATAATAAATACATTCACTTGTGATAAACAATATGTTTAATCTGATAGATGAACATGAAAAAATGTTGATCTTATGCATATTAATAGACGATCTATGCTATTGCCTTGGAGAATCTTCATTTTGTAGATTTTACACATAAAATAAAGTATAAATATAAACACATAGATGCTCAAGGATTAAAAGTATTTTTTTTTTCAAATGCAAGTATATATTATCATCATTACAAACAACTAGCTACCCAACTTACCCGATGACAATACATTGGCAGAACACGTTACAATTTTGGCATTTTGGATTTAGACAATTTCGGCCCAAAACAGACAGTATAACATATCTTAATTTGGGCCCAAAAAATTACTGTATAACATATCTTAATGGTAGATGTTAAACACACCTCCACTCTCGTATAAACACATCTCTTTTTTAAAAAAAATATATATAAAATGTCTAAATTACCCTTTTAAAAAAAATGAAATTCCTAAATTTACACCTCATTTCCCGCACCCCCTTTCCCCGCACCCCACACTCCACACCCCTCTTCTTCCCAAAGTTTCTTTCTGCTCAATGTCATTAAGCAATATACTTTTACAATCATTCTGAATAGAAAAAAAGGACTAGCCCCACCATAACCAGCATAAGAAAGGTTCTTTTACAGTCATTAGCATTTCGGATAGTACTTTTATAGTCATTAGCATTCTGGAAAGTACTTTC